TTTGAGAACCCTTGCATCAGAAAGCAAGACTCCTGGACCAACTTTCCTGGACACAGTTAGCTTCATCTGGAGTTTTTAGTTACATTGATGCTACAGCTTGCTGGCTTGATTCCCAAAAGACATTTTACTCTTTCCAATATATTTTATCTCTTGGTTTAAGGGCACATCATTGGTTATATTCTTTTAAGGGAGTGAAAACAAGGGAAACTTTCAGGTTTGTTTTTTAAAAATTTTTAATTATAGAAATTATAATTAAGGTTTTCCTGGGGATAAAATGTTTTTTAGTCAAAGTTTAACAACCATTGGTCAGTTATAGAAAGCAGCAAATATATTTCTGGTATAAACACAGAACATTAGTTTTTAATACTTAGTATATGCTGTAAATATTTAACTGATAGATGGTTTGGAAAACATGAAATACGATGGTTAGTTTTGGTCAAGATCAAGTTTGGTTAATCAAGAGGACTTCATGATGGACATGAAAATGACTCTGAACTTTGACTGATGGTAAACTTGCAATTTTTCAGGCAGAAATAGGGGTAAGGATAATGTTGAAGGGAGAAGCTGAGATAATAAATGCGGTCCAGTACATTGAGTCAGAACATGGTTTGGGAATCAAAATGGCTGGAATTCTACTTCAGCTCTGCCATCTACAAGTTGTGTGACTCCGCTTCACATCTGTAAGATGGGAGTCACAGTGGTACCTTCAGGTGGTGGGCAGACCTCTAAGATGGCCTTTTAAATTCTGCCCCATGATGTGCATGCCTTTCCCTGAGTGTTGGATGGCACCAGTGAATATGATGGGATATATCCTGCAATTAATCCACTGCCTTGGAGTTAATCAAAGACATAATCAGGTAAGCCTAATCAGGAAGAAGGTGAAACCTCAGAGACACTCTCCTTCTGCCATGGAAGAAATCAAACAGACCATGAGAGGGAGCCACTTGACAAGAACCTGAGGGTGACCTCAGGGAGTTGAAATCAGTCCCCAGCTGAGAGCTAGCAAGAAGGCAGGACCTCGTGCAACTTGCTGCAAGGAATTGAGCTCTGCCAACAAGCAGTGAACTTGGAAGAGGACCAAAGCCTTAGAAGAGACTGCAGCCCCACCTGGGACCTTGGTTTCAGCCTGTGATTCCCTGCACAGAGGACCCAGGTAACCTGTACTGGGCTCCTGCCCACAGAAACTGTGAGAGAATAAAGTAGTGTTGTTTTAAGCCGCTAAGTTTGTGATAATTTGTTATAGAATTATCAGCAACAGAAAACTAATGTACTATTAGTTGGTTTATAATTAAAAGATGCTTCTAAAGTACTTACCGTGCTGTTTAACATATACCAAATACGTAATAAACCCTAACTTAAAAACATGAGAAATGATTTTGG